AACAACAATCATTGATAATTTCCTACCACTTTGTAATTCGGTAAGCCCCTTATTACTATGTTATCCTTCTTTTACTCTTTAAAATTAAAAAAAAAAAATTTAAAAAGCAAGCAAACAAAAATTTTAAAACTGTCTACTATAGTACCTTGGTTAGGACAGGCATTTAATCAATTTTGACTCATTAAAAGTTAAAAAAAAAAAAAAAGATAACCAGGTATTGCAACAGTCACCTGTAGTTCCACCTACTCAAGAGGCTGAGGCAAGGGTCGGGGATATATCTCAGCGGTGCGCCTGCCTGGCAAACTCGAGGTCCTGAATTTGATTCCCCGGGACAAAAAAAAAAAGAGGCTGAGACAGAAAGATCACTTGATCTCAAGAGTTTGAAACCCTGCCTCCAAACACAAAAACAAAAAGTATGGGCTGAGGGTGAGGCTCAATGGCAAACAGCACTTGCCTAGCATACAGGAGGCCCTGGGTTCTATCCCCAGCATCAGGAGGAAAAAAAAAAAAAAAAAAAAAAGTCAACAGAAATTAATGGAACTTAGGGAGATTTTCTTTCCTTTTAGCTTTTACTATCTTCTTGTATCGTCCTGAATTTGCAAAATAAGCTTTTAAAAGTTCAAAGACCACAAAGATCAGAGACAGGAACTTTCAGAAAGCAGACAAATCATCTCAGACTACTAAGCCAGCCCTCGGCGTTACTGCACACTCCCTGGCCAGGCGGGTACGTGAGCACCTGATTTAGCCCCTGCTTATGACACCAGGCACAATGCTGAAGGCAGCAGTTTCCACGCCACACACGAGACACTTCCTCTCTCTCCCCCACCATGAAGATGATGTTTTGTGATAAGAATTTTGAAACCACGTAGCTCATGAGCTTTACTTTGTATTCTAGTAATGGACTGGGAATTATTTTCTTTTGAAACCAACTTGCCATTACAATAGGGACTGGGTAAGAATAACCTTGGCTTGGTACTAAATCAAATCTACCCTTTTTCTCAACGCAGAAGGACCAAGGAGAAGGGAAAAACAGGCTCTACATATTAGAGATTCTTAAGATTCTCATCAGGAAATCTGGAATCAGTTCTCTCCCGACAAGAGCGGTGAACTTGGACTCCAAGGTTCCCAGGCTCACTCGACCCCCAGGAAGGCCTGCAGCAACCTCTGCTGTCACTTGGATCACCCGCTATTTCTATGACAGGGAGTGGAAATGACGACGCCGCCAGCCGGTCACTCTCTCTCCACTGCCCGGCCACCTGCTTTTGCTGGTACCACGTCCAAATGTATTCTCCCGTCCCAAGCCGCGCGTGGTGGCGCACGCCTGTAATCCCAGCACTCGGGAGGCTGAGGCAGGAAGGTCATGCGAGTTCAAGACCAGCCTGGGCTACAAAGTGAGTCAAGGCCAGGCTGAACTGCACAGGGAGACCTTGTCTCAAAAAAAATAAAAAATAAAAATAAAAATAAAAATAAAAATGTATTCTCCCATCCCATCCACAGAGTCAAGATGCTATTTCTGACTTGTGCTGCCTTGGCAACAGAACAGATAAAAAAGTGGGGAGGAGTCACACTCCCTGATTAAAAGGTCCTAAGTAACTACTTCAATGTCACTGCTCAGGGGCTGTGTAAGCAGTCTCTGAAGGCAGCCTGGGTGACAGGGATCTTTGATCCAGGATAGGTCTTCCAATTGCCAACTAAGGAAAAAGTTTTACACTGTATCCCAGAGCCTGGGGTTCGAGACTCCCTCCCACCCTTGGCCTCAGTATCCCCACAGGGAACATAAGCTTGGTTAGATCAGAGAGTCACATGCTGAGGCCAAGTGGGTAATACAGCTGTGTGTTACTTAACAGTGGGACACATTCTGAGAAATGTATCGTTAGGTGATTTTGTCACTGTGCAAACATCACAGTGTACTTACACAAACCTAGATAGTATAATCTACTACACACCTAGGCTACCACCTAGGCTATCCGTATTTTATAAACTCTGTATGTACACAGCCTAGCCTATCACTCCTAGGGCCATGAGGAACAAAACAACACTCAATTAAATCAAGCAAAAGACAAAATGATTCTATCAAGACAACATGAGCCAGATGAGACTGCTGCCAGCACGACAGGGCAGACTGTTTGACAGTAAATTTTTCTCTAAGTAGAGGAACACACTAAAATAACAATAAAAGGTAGCATACAGTATAAACATAAACCGGTGGGCCGGGGATATAGCTCAGCAGCACAAGAGCCTGCCTAGCAAGCGCAAGGTCCTGAGTTCAACTCCCAGTACACACACACACACACACACAAACATAAACCAGTAGCACTGTTATTTGTTACTATTATTACACATTGCCATTGTATACCATTACATGTGCTATGCTTTTTTTTTTCTTTCTTTTTTGTGGTGCTAGGGATGTACCCCAAGGTACTTCTACCACTAAGCTCCATTGCCAGCTTATCTTACTGGGAGACAGGGCCTCAGTTAAGTTGCCCAGGCTGGGCTTGAACTTGCAGTTCTCCTGCCTCAGCTTCCCTCAGTGTTGGGGCTACAGATGTGCTCCACCACCACGCACATCTCAAGGGACCACCTCTGTGTGGCGCAAGTTGTTTGGTGGCTCATGCCTGTATTTACAATGCCTGGAAGGGCCGGGGATATAGTTCAGCGGCACAGCGCCTGCTTTGCAAGTCTGAGGTCCTGAGTTCTATCTCCGGTACCAGTAAAAAAAGACAAAACAAAAAACATACAATGCCCAGGTACACCAGCTATCTCTGGACCTAGCTTTCCCTTGTCTTAATTACAAGAAAATCATGGGTTCAAGGTGCGGGAGTGGTGGTGGAGCCAGCTGACAGCTTTGAGAATTGCAGTCCTTTTTTAAAAAGGGTCCACATGCTCTGGAGAATCAGGAAGAGACAAAATAACTTATGGATCAGACAAACTCTTTTGTAGAGAAAGCCAGAGTAGTAAGGGAGTTTTACTGGGTTTACAGCAGGTTGAAATGACAAAATGACAAGGGGGAATCTTGCCAGCATAAAAGAGAAGTTCCACATTTAGGCTTAAATAAAAATGAGCCCTGTGAAGCTGAGACACATGGTGCAGGGGGAGCAGACGGGAAGCAGACAAGGGATGCAACCGAAAGCTCCCGGCAGAGAGAGCCCATCCATGATTTCCCACCAGCACGTGCTGCACCAAGACTGTGGGCCTCCGGAGAACGTAGATGAGGTAGTGAGCTGATCAAGGGCCCAAGGCAAGCAAGGACACTAGCAGGTCGTCGGGCAGAGCGGGGAGGCTGGGGACTGTTTCCCGGTGCCACTGGAAGGATGCAGCTGAGAAGCAAAGGTGTGCGAGTGAAGGATGTGCTGGCCCGATGGTTCTCAAAATGTGTGCGCAACCCAGGGGGAGAGGAACAGCGAATCCGGCAGTCTGAAAGCTGCGGCATCACACCAGGGTTGGACTCTCTGACCACTAGACTTTTGCTCCAGTGAGGGTTCCTAGCTCTGTAACAGGAAGGGGCAGCTCAGAGGAGGAGCTAGGAAGGTAACAAAAGACACACACAGGCCTGGTTGGCCTCCAAACTGACATCTCTCTTAAGCCTTTGGAGCACTGCTTTCTCAGCTTCTCAGCTTCTCAGACTGATTTGTGCAGGAATCACCTGGGATCCTGGTAAAACGCAGACACCACAAATTCAGTGGGTCTGGTGTGGGCAGGTCTAACAAGCTCACAGCTGTAATGCTAATTCACGTAATCCCAGAGGCCAAGCTTTGGTAAGGAGGCTCTAGATCAATGTCAAGTCACAGAAAGCAAATCCTGTTGGAGACAGAAAAGAGGGTGAGGGAGGGAATTCTGGAGAAGCCCTCTCTGTTGCCTGGCTTTCTGACAGGGCAATTCTGGGCTCAGAGTAGCTTCAATCTAGACAAGCCCCAAGGACAGTGATGTGGCTGATTTAGGAAAGAGGCACTCTCCAGGGGGTACCCAGCCGCTGAGCACGTGGGAGTCTCCCAGTAAGTTTTCCTAGGCGACGCCAGGTGGTGACGATGGCTCGCCACTGTAATCCCAGCTGCAACTCAGGAGGTTGAAGCAGGAGGCAGCTTAAACCCAGGAGCTAGAGCGCTACCTGGACAACACCGCAAGACTTCGGCCAAAAAAAAAAAAAAAAAAAGTTTCCTAGAAAAAGAAATTAGGGATTAGGGAAAGGGTGGGGTCAAGCTGTAGGCATTTGGGTGCCCCAAACAACTTCGGCACTCAGAACTGGTTCACTAAACCAGAAGCTAGACAATGTCCTGCAGCAAAAAGCCTCTAGATTTAATCAGCTCGGCCCCACCCAGCCCTCCGCAAAAGCGCTCGGCCCTGTCTTCCTCCGGGGCAGAGGTGACTGCAGACTGGGCGCCTTCCCAACAGTGACTCAAGGGTACAGAATCAAATCAGTTCCCTGCAGCTCAGCATTCACAGGACCCTGGCCTCGCCCTGTGTCCGTCCCAGCCCGCCTTTCCAAGCATCACCTCCGGCTCTCGGGGCCACGCTGTGCCGTCCCCAGTTCCCCGTCTCTGCCCGCTCTTCAGGTGCGTCGGCCACTCCCAACCCTCCCAGGCGCAACCGATTCTGCCCCCAGCGCCTCGGAATCCCCATAGTCTCTCTGTCGCTTCGCTTTAAAAGTGTGCCTGTATCGTAGTGTTACAGTCAGTGCCACGGGTGGCCGCCTTCTCCGACTCAGAAGTCCTATAAGCGTCCCTCTGTCGTCCCCCACCCAACCCCACGGCGCCGAGCACAGTGCCGGCTGCACAGGAAGTGCTCAGAAACCGAGCCGGGGCAGGGGCTACCGCAGCGCCCAGAGGAGGCGCTCAGCGCTTAAGGATTCAGCCCAGCAAAGTGAGGTTCCCCCAAAAAAGCAAGGGTCGCGGAGCCGACAACCCCGCTGCGCCCTCCCGAAGCGCGGCCGGGCTGATTCGGGCCGGCGCCCCTGCCTTCCGGAGCCGCGCCGCGCGCCCGGGCCGCCACCGCAGCGCCCTCACCTTGTAAACCTTGCCGAAGGCGCCGTCGCCCAGCTCGCCCACGATCTCCCACACTTCGTTGGGGTCCAGGTCCCGGCGGACGTGCTCATATTCCCGGGACTTTCTCTTCTCGAAGGTAGACAGGCGCAGGATGCGGCGGAAATTGGCGAAAGCCATGGCCGGGGCGCGCGAGGTGGCGCCGGCTCGGGCTCCAACCGCGGAGCGGTCGGCGCGAGGAGGAGGAGCGGTCGGAGACGCCGCGGCGCTCGGGGTTGCTCCGCAGACCCGTCCTTCCCGCAGCCCGACCTCGGTCAAGTGCGCTCTGGGAAGCGCCGCGCGGGAGCACCCGGAACCAAGCCGGCGGCGCGTCCCCGCCCTGCGCGGTGCGGCCCC